CAGGGACCCAGATGAGGGGCCGGAGGAGGGGAGGTGCAGGGTTGGGGGCTCAGGTCACCTCTGCTGCAGCTGGACCACAGGAGTTGAGAGTGAAACTGAGGGGAGTTCCAGCTGTGGGGGTAACATCGGGAAAACAACACAAACAACATGATAGAAAGTGGCCTCGTTTCTCCAGAAAAACTGTAAAGTTTCTATGAGAGAGATGCATGGATGTTTATAAAAAATACCATTTGTCTCAGGGAAAATTGCTGATCATTTTTTTCTGGATGTAAAATCCTACATTTGTAGGGTAAGAAAAAACACCATCATAGTTCTCCCTGGGTCTTTTGGCCAAGCCTTGATCTCTCCTTATTTACTATGAGACTATTCTTGGATGTTTCAGAATGACAGCTCACCCTACTCCTCTGATTGTGTTTGAATGATGGCAACTTAAACGTGACAAGAACATCAACTCCAGATGAGCGAGTCCAACTCTCTTTTGTCCGCATGAACCCAAGTGCCATCCAAGAGTTGGAGACTAGTGGTCCTCTGGTTCCACCTGTGGACTAGAAAAGGAAGAATAAGAAAAAGGACACAGTAGCCACCATCCAGGTAGCATCTGGCATGCCTGATATCCTACTCCAGCAGACCTCTTTCAAGTGGTCAAATACCATTTTCACTCTGAGTTACTCTTTGCCATTTATTTCCACTGATTTTGAATCACAAGAGACGTCCATCACAGGTGACCATATCTCTGACATATAGACAGGTGCCTGTCGTGAGGCACAGGAGGGAGCAGTAAAGTCCTCTCACTTTGGGGGCATCAGGGACCTAGGCTCGCCCTGACAGACAGAACCAGGGGCCCAGAGCCAAGCTCATACCCGAAAAGGACAAAGTCCCTGATGAGCATACCACCAATAAATACCAGAACAGATGCCATGAAATTCCAATCAGAAGAATTTATAATGTGAAGTCACATATTATATAGTGAGAAATAAATAAACGGAAATTGTCAGTCAAACTCCTGGCAGCTGGGGCCAGCGTCAGAGGCAGTAAATGAACGAACTCCATAAATCACATTTATGAACAGCCCCATTGCACATAACTCTGACAGTGGGGCTTTCCATTATGTAACAGGAGACAGTGGCTTGTTGCATCTCATAGAGATGGGAAATGAGCAGAGCTGGTGTGTCCCTGGAGTTGTGACTTTAGGGTGTGAGACCATGATCGAGACATTGCCCTTCTTTCTAGGTCAATGTGCGCATGAGGGCTTGGGAGAGGGCTCTGGCTTCCCACCTGGAGTAAAACTCAGGAGAAGGTCAAGGCTCCCACAGATAAATTCTGGATAATGTATCTCAAAGTTCTAGAACTCACCATACGCAACCCAAGAGCAAAAGCAGGGAGAAGTTGGCTCTGTTCTGGGAGAAGCCAAGGGAGTCTCTTTACCAAAAAATCTTCTCTTAGCCATCATTCAAGTCGTGAACTGAGATCCTCTCCTCCTTTGCCCTCCCTCTGCATCTTTTACCCCTACTCTTAGCAATCTAGACCGTCTTCTGTTCACTATGGGATCCAGAGTGTGGGGCAAGGTCTCCAGGCTCTACCACGTCGTAGGACATCTAACATGAGAGTGCTTCTAAATTCATTCCATGAATGAGTGAATGAAAGATTATCCTAAAAGAGATGTCTTCCAAACTGCATTTCCCTTCTATTTTCCTTGGCTTAAAACCCTCCACTGTGCTCTTGGGCAGAAGCTTCTATCCAAGCGATAGGAAGTGTAGAGAGGTGATTAAGACCATGTTTATTAAACCCAACTGCTGAATTCAAACCCTGCCTCTGCCTCAAGTCACTGGGCAGCCTTGCACAAGTCATCTAAACCTCTGAGGCTGAATTAGCACATCTGTACCATGGAAATATTAATATCTGCCCCAGTTAAAAGAATTAACTCATGCATAGCACTTAGCAGAGAGACTGCTTGGAAAATACTGACATGTGACTTAAATATGAATGCCTGTTACCATGTCCTGGCACCTTCCCCTTTCCATGGCCTCTTTCTATTACATCTTAGCATTTTTCAGCTGAGACTATTTGAGCCTGAGTGACAAAAGGGGTGTGTGAATGTTCTCAAAAGTCTGAGGAGAAAAGGACTATGACCAGGACCCTCATGGAGACTCTGATGTAATACAAGGGCAGTGCTATCTCCTTGGGCATGGGCATCTGGCAATGATCTGGAGTCAGAAGACGGCCTTACCCAGCAACCTCTCCCAGGCTATCCCATCCAGCTTTAGCTAATAAAACGGAGACTCCCATAGAGCTTTCCGAAGAAGCTGCCCCCCCTTAACTGGCCCTTGCAGCTCATCAGCAAGTGGCAAGCAGGGCAGTAATTAGGCCCTCTGCTGAGCCCTGCACTGGTGATTTAAATAACTGAGAACAATGCAAACCTTGGTGATGGGAAAAGGAGAGGCTAAAATAGAACACCTCCCTAGTTAATAGGTGAGTAACCTTGAGCATCCCAACAGGAGCAAGGAAGAGTGCACAGCCTAGGCCAAGGACCCCCGTGCCCTGAAACATCAGAGGAATGTGTTCCGAGAGGCTAAAGTATTCCTGGGAGCTCGCTCCTATGTATGTCTAAAATCCATGCCCAGAATTACTCCCTCACCTAGGACATCAGCTCTGATAAATTTTATCTCTAACTGTGTCTAATGACTGCCTTCCTGGCACATCTGCTGTCAGTGCTGTCATATGCAGCCTGCAGATTCAGTCTCAGGGATGGCCAGGTGCTATTTCTGAGGTTTCTCTGTTAGACCCTTGCTTCTTTATGTGTGATGTTTCACTGGGGTGATGCTGTTTTAGGAGCATGTTGTCTTTATACAGCAGTAATATTAGCCACATCCTCCAGCACTGGAAGATGCATTCATCTGAGAGATTGTCTCAGTTTTTGCTCACCTGAGAAGCCTGGCTATAGGCGAGAAGTTGAATGAGATTATCAATCAAGGACCTTCCAGACCTAGAAGCCCAGAACCTTATCCAGTTCTTGGATTGTCACTCCAAAATAAACACCAAATAATGAGTCATGAGGGTGTGAGGGCATTCTAAAGTGCAGATGGGAGTATCCAGCGCTTCCTCGGTCTTTGTGTGGAGTAGGGAGGAGTCCCTGGAGAAGGATGAGGTTGAGGGTTTCAGATATGCGGGGTGGGACCCTCTGTCTCCCACTGTGCTTCCATCAATTTCAATCACTGGACTAAGTAATGAAAAGGCCAAGCCACCAGGCCTCGACTTTAGAGGACACTCAACATCCTACTTTAAGAAACATGATCTTTTGCTCAAGCAGCCCAATTCTGCCACAGATACTGCCATCGGAAGCCATGGATGCAAAGGCAGCCATATGCTAGAGAGGAGACATATTGACTCATAACTTCCGTGTTGTCAGGTTACTCAGAATTCTGGATCTTGAGTGTTTTCATGAATGAAGATCACAAAGCATAATGGCAGCACTTTGAATGCTGTACAAGCAACTGGGCCTTGGAGAATGAGAAAGCCAGCTCAACTCAACAAATGTCAATTAAGTATACGCGATGCACATATCACTGTGCAGAGAACATTAGGTGTTCCCTGGAAAGTCTTAATGCAAGTTCCACTCACTCAAAAAAAGGTGCTTATACACAGGGAATTTTGTCCCAGGCTACAAGGGGCCTAATCACGACTTTGGTAAGTTATGTGTCCACGTGGCAAAGGCCAGGTGAAAAATGTAATTTATTACAAGGGACAATTCAACAACAAAAGTTTCTGGCCCTTATGTACGCCAGCTTCTCTAGCAGGAATAAAACTTTTGAAAAGGCTATTTGGGTTTTTTCCGTTCAGAGCCATACAAACTATACATCTTTTTAAAAGTGGTATGAACAGGCCTTCTAGGGATAAAGACAGGTTTGATACATGGAGATGGGAAGATGTTTCTATTGCTACCCGAAACCCAAATGTGGTGTTGTAACTTGGTCCTCAGCAACAGGCTTTGAAGGGAGATGTGTTTCCAGAAAGGGGGCAAGTTAACCATATGGTACAGCCGAGCAGCTGCTCTAGAAAGGTCTGGAGCAGAACCTGGAGCTCTTGCATTTCCTGAATTGAATTCCTCTTTTAATATTTGTGATATTGTCTTGTAAGATCTAAACCCGTAAACCAGTGGTTTTCAGCCAAGGCAATTTTGCCTCCCAGGGGACATCTGGCAATGTCTGGAGACATTTCTCATTGACACCCAGAGGGTGGGAGGCAGAGGAGGAATACTGCTGTATCTAATAAAAATGCTGATAAACATCATACAACACACAGGACAGCCCCCCACAATAAAGAATCCTTTGATCCCAAAAGTCAATAGTGACAAAGTGAGGAAGCCCTGCCTTAAATCTTTCTATCTCTCTGTTGAACTCTCATGAGTGAAATTACAACCTGTGGCTCCCTGTCACTCCCCTAAACCCATCAATGTTTTTGAAAGAAATTAATGGAAATAAGTCTTGAAATCTCATTAAAGGAAACACATCATATGAAGTAAAGAAGAAAGATATAGAGAAAGGAATGGAAATTGGAAAGAAAAGAGAGAGAGAGAAAGCAGTTTTAAAGTAATTTTGCCAAAGAATCCTAAAATCTTTGGGGTAAAAGGATATCCGAGGGAACATGTTTTATCCCACCTTGGGAACATAACTGAAATAGTTATAATCGGGAAGTTTTAATAACACATATGGAGTGACAGGACAGAGAGCTGGAGGTGGCAAATCCTTTCCTTGAGCCCCACCTCAAATCATAAACGTGTGTATGTTCTTCTTGAAACACGCATATCAATCCAGTATCCAGCTTGGAGGCCACCTTACACCTTGTGCAAGCCACTTTTACCCTCAGCAACCCAAGGATCCAGCTCTCAAGGTGACACAAAATCCTGCAATCTGTGCGTACATTTGGACTTTCCCAAACTTCCACCTACCTTTAAATTCAACACTCTTCCCTATCAAATAATGAATCCAAATAAAACAAGGGCATTGATGTTTTATACTTTATTTGAGAAGAGACCCTACATAAACCATGTCAGGAGGACACAGTCTACACACGATTTCATCAATCAATAAATGGAGTCGTTAACAAAACATTGAAGATACGATACCATGAGGGAGACAGACATATGACCAAGGAGTATTTACAAATCTCACATATGATATATTTATATTGGAGATGGATATATACATATATACATGTACATGTGCATATACATACATATGTCCATACATACACACACATATATACATATATATGTATAAAATGTTTTTAAACAAAAACCAAGAAAAGAGTTTGCCTTCTTGTAGTAATTAACCATTTGAAAGTGAAGAATGGTTGGTTTTCATTAGTGTCATGGTGTTAAATCTCTGCCCCTACATTTAACTCCAACACTGATAGATTCCAATGAAGACACGTGTTTGCCTTGGGATGAAGCATGAGGGTGAAGAATGGGGTGATGGGTATGGGGCCGAGAGTGAAGGACATGCACAATGGGAGAAATGACCTTTGGTGATACCATTAAATCATCCTTTTGTATTAAACATAAATTATTAATACAATTTAAAAAAATAATTTTCTGTTTCCTTTTGAGGTTGGGGAGGAAGGAAGAGCAGTGTAGGGAATAGAGATAGGGAGCACTTGCCTTTTCAATGCATCCCTTAATATCAACTGAGAACACATATCCCCTACACAGGGGCCATCCTACCATGTTAGAATCCATAGTTTTTGCATAAAGGACATCTTTACATAAGAATTTTATAACATAAGCCTCTTCTCCAAAGGCAGATACAGTCATCATTTTAACTAAATTGATTCTCCAAGGCTCACCAGGATGCGAATAAACCTAGCATAACCCATGGATTTTTTTAAAAGGAAATGAATGGAAGAAATAGAAGGGGTACTATTCGTAAAACCCAGGTTTACTAAAACCTCAGTCACCCACCGTGAGTTAATAACTTTGGGATTCAAGTGATGGGGAGCAAACATGATCAGCACTTTCCAGTGGCCTTGGCAAAAAACAAACAGGCATCATGGGGGAGTATTTCTAAGTCATAAAAGAGAACTGAGGAACAATCAATTGAGATAAAAATAAATGACGTAAGGTCCAGTTGAGTACATCTCAACTTTGCTGCCGCCAAGGTTTCCACCAAAGAACGATGGCCTGGCAAGACTATATCTACTGTTAAGATTTTTCCAAACCATGCCACATTGTGTTTTTTCTAAACTCTGTAAGATTAGCTTGGCCTGAGAACAAGAGTGTGGATGTATCACATGACCACTGCCATCTACACCATTGTTCAGCAGTTGCTATAATCCAACTTACCCTTCAGTTGGCTGATATATTTATACATACATTGGGAAACACACACAAACACATGGGGTCTGACGAGATATAATCACTTTACATATATTTAATACAGAAAGCTTAGGGATGAGGGCGGAAATCAGTTACAACAGCACCTAAACTTCATTCGCAAAATTCCTCTCTGAGAACATAATACCCAACTAGTGCACTGAAGTAGGTACCGGCTGATTTTCCAGATATTGAAAGTTTGCTGCGCAACATCAGCCTAAAGATAAAGGGACATGTAATGTCCAGTAGGAAACAAATCAGTGTACATCATTTACACGGCAATAAATCCTTCATTTCTCTTGAAATAAGATATGTAAAGTAGCACTTAGTTTAATACAAGTTTTGTTCAGCTTTAGACCTAGCTGTAAAAAGCCATTCATGCAAAAAATTACCTCCAGTTTTAGCTGGATAATTAAAGGACACTTCTCCTGAAAACAAGTCCCTTTCACATAGGGAAGGGGAAAATATCCCACTCAGGACAGCCAGCATTGGCTGAGAGTGGAAAATACAAGACTTTGGTGTTTGTAGGGCATTTGCCTTAAGAACCCAGAAGTAGCACTGAGTTCACCTTTAAGGAGGCAGAGGGCTAGAAGTGCCCTTGAAAATTTTAGGAAATTTCCAGAAAAAGTACTGACAGCCTCTGTAGGATTTTATTCTCTGGTCTGTTCTTTCCTGAGGCTTCCATTGGCATCACCTCTATGTCTAAAGATGCCTGCTTCTGTATCTCCAGTCTCAGACTACCTTTCCCCTGGCCAGTGGATCATTTGTTTCCTACCAGTCAATCTGCAACTCCTCCCTCTCTGTTCTAAGGAAACAGAATTTCTCCCATCAAGCTCTCCTATACATGGTGGTCCTTCACATACATATTCTGTCAAAACTAGGCTTGTTCCTTGATTTCAATAAAAAACAAAGCTCCTCTATTCTACAGACTTCTAATAGAAAGTTTTTGACCCTTCCTTCCCCCAGTCCTCACATAAATAATCTAGAGAAACTCTTCCTTTGGCCTTTTTGCATGGCAAGTGTGAGAACTGCAATGAGATGCCCTCAAAAGGCAAGGAATGGAGGAAGAATGGATTGTCCTCAGATCCACTTCAAGGTTAAGAATTGCAGTTCCATTGAACTTGTTTGTCTGAGATGTGGCTCTAGCCTGTTTTGACCACCTCATTTATCCTTAAAAAGAATCCTTTATGGTCTTGTACCACTAAATGTTACAAATTATGATAAGCAACACTGAAGGAGGGGAAGAAGAGAGGGTACAGTGGAGTGTTCAGTGCTTTGGATGGTCCAGGGGCAGTTGAAGTGGAGTTCATTTAACTCCTGTGAAATAGAAAAAGTATTTAAGGTGAAATCCTTGGTGACTGTCTTACCTTCCCAGCACTGGGGCTATCCTGACATGAGGGGTTAATTAAGAGAAGACAATGCTGCCTCTAAGATGCATCTAATGTGTTATTGTGCTATATGACAACTGGCCAATCACAAGGCAAAGTGACAACATGTGCTTCCACTACGTTGATTTTCTCAGTGCATCCCTTCATTCTGGCCTGACAGAGGCCCAAAGGAGCCATCTGCATTTTTACTATGGTTGTTTAAGGCAAAGTGAGCTGCTTAACAGCACTCAGGATTGGAGGGCGGCTGGTGGCATCCAAAGCAGTGCCCGGCCCCAACTCTCCAAAATGCCTAACAACAGCATCACTGGGCCACTTTCTGTCCTCAAAGTTCATAGTTTCTGCTCAACTCCTGTGAAATATTGCCTACAAACACACACCGAGTGAAACATAGACTTGGACATTGTGGGAACTGTGCAGAAATTGTAAAAAGAAAGTGATTGCCAATAAGCAGTCCCCCACTGGGGAGTTTAGGAGTCAAAGGTGCCTTGTGAACACTTTTTCCAGGAGGTGCTTGCGCCAATGTGCCCTTCATTGATGTCTTGGTCTCTTTCTTTCCACTCCTCTGGGCCAGGAGACCTGGATGTGTTAGTTCAATCCTCATCATTTTTTAGCACGTCCAGAATGTGACACAAACAGCTTAGCCACCAGGATTGAAAATAAATAGAAGATGTAAGCACCAAAACTTAAGAATAAAGTCTTCCAGGATGAGGCCCCAATGAATAGGAAGTAAAGGGAAAACCCGCCCTTCAGTGTGTGGAAGGTCAATCAGGACTGCAGGTTCAATCCAGGGAGGTGTTTGCTGTCCCTGGTGCTGAAAACAGATGCCTAGGTATCACTGACAGATGGGAGAAGCAAAAAACTGCCTATCAAACTGAAAACTCTTTCAGCAGAGGCTGACTTTAGGTGACAGGCCTCCAAACATGTTTTAAATGACTCTTTTTTGTGCCATTTCAAATGAAAGCAGCTCTGAAGTGACTCTAGTTCGGGACAGAACTAATGCATTGCCATAATACTGATGGGGTAGCTCATCCAAACCACCTCCCCATTCAGTCCCTATTGGTATGTTACTTCATGTGACTCAAGGACCAAAATGGATGCAGCATCAGAGTCTGTGGAAACTGCCTGCTAATTTATTTTTCCTGATAACAACTGCAGACATGGAATTGACTTGGCTTACTATGACTAAACGTTCCTGAAGGAAATATTTGGGTAAAACTTTACCACGTACTGAAACACGGGTCTCTGAATTCCTCTCCACCTCTCATTTTATTGTCACCTTCTGAGAAACTGAGCAGAGCTTTTACTGTGCTCAAGAGAAAGTCTAAACTTATAAACGCCTCCCCCAGCCAACACACAAAGAAACACAAGAAATCTCAGAAAGTAAAACGTACTTGAGAAAGAACATGATTCTTCCCTTAACGGTACACGAATCTTTGCCAGAGAGAGCAGGACTGCTGTTTTCTCACACACTCAAAGTGAGAATTTTCTTGTCTCAACTTGCTTTCTTTTCATTCTATTTTGACAATGCCCTTGAACTCACCCGCCATGGCCCACAAACATAACCAAGAAGGGTCCTTGATTATGTGGGATAACAGAAAACTAACATGGGTCATTTTTTGTTGCCTCCAACTCCAATGAGTTAGGGGGGCTTTTGCTTTTAGACATGAACTATAATCAATCATTTCCAGTCTTGAAAAGAAAATATCCCAATGGCCCCCAAGGAAGCCTAAATAAACTTTCAGAGGGGAAAAGAAAAAGCATTAAAGTAAGTTCTTGTTGCTCCTGTTAACATATTAGATCAAATTTTCCATGTCAAGTGAGTCATTTCTCAAATGATACCTCTGAAATCCTTAAATAATCAGACTTGTTGCTAGGAAATTACACAGTGGAAATGGCTTGTTCAAGGCAGGCCTCCACGGTGTTGTGACGGAGGTCATCTCCTCAGGACTATCAGAATGAATTCTGGAATGCTGCCCTGAACCAGCTTGCCTTCTCTAACTTCATACCATAATTTAAAATTCTATTCATAACCCAATTTCGACTCTCATTTCAAAGAAAGCTGAAATGCTCTCTGTCTGCTGGACAGCTGCAGGCGAAAATCACCTGGACAGAGAGGTTCAGACCAGAGGTGTGACTCTTCTACATGACAAAAAGAAAAGAAAAAGGAAATGAATCCATGGTAAAAAGAAAAGAAGGATCCAGAACTTGAGCAAAACATTTGTGAATTTTTTAGGATTTCATGTAATCCGCTTTATTCTGATTTCTCTCGGGAGTGGTCAAAATTCCATGTTTTTCAATCATGCACAGCATTTAGTCAGTTGCATGACACCTGATTTTGCTCAGAGAGCTAAAGGAAATTACATTAAAAAGATTTAACTTGCCAAGGCCTCACCACTGTAAGCTATTTAAAATAGTGGCTGGTGTCACAAACACCTGGGATTATTTTGAGGGGCTATAAATGACATCACTGATAGAACCTTGGCAATCTGGCCTCAAAATTTATTGTCAGGAGTTTCATTTTCAATCAGATATGTTTCTCAGTGTGAATCTCACTCACACCTATTTGTTGGTGCCCAAGGCTATTTGAAGTGTGTTTAGCATTTGGTCTTCACCCAAGCAGCTCTTTCTGTCTTAAGATTATTTCCCCATGTACAAAATGCTGGCCTTAGAATGAACGTGTTACTGCTTCAGGATCATTATCACTCTGGGTGCTTCCTGCAAGATTAGTCCTACCACCCAATTTATAGAGGAAGCTTCATATAGTCTTACTTTAAAAAAGCATTACATTTAAATCTATAGAACCTCCTGAAAGTAACAATGGATAAACGCAGCAGCAGATGCCATTTTGTTACAAAATGTTCAGGGTTCCAAGTCTGAAAATAAAATCTACGCTTTCAATGAGAGAGCCAAATGGGTAAAACATCCTCTTTCTGACGGTAATTTTGGAAAGGTATTTGCCATCCCTAGGTGCCCAATGGTCATTCAAAGAGGAAAATGCTAATGATAAAATCTAGAAACCAAACTTCAGGAGGAATTTAAGGAAGGAGCACCTGAAGACGTGGCACATGCCACAAAGCAGCTCACACTCAGCGCCCAGCACGACTATTTGCGCCACTCCCTGTGCAGAGAGTGGGTTCCACTTATGTGGGGGCGTCTTGTGGGGCCCATGGAACTCTTTGGCATCTGTGATCTCTTCTGGCATTCATCGTAATCCGGGCAGGCAGGGGTTGGTAGCAGTTCTTTTTTGTAGATCGAGAAACTGAGGCACAGAGGAGATCATGCTTCTTCCAGGATCACTCAGCAGGAAATAGAATCTCAGAAATTTTCTGCCTCCTCGTCACACAGCCTACCCTCCACCCCACTTCCCCACTTTCTACTTATCTTGCCATTTTATCATAGACGGCATTTAAAATAGACCCCATATCTTTCTGGAAGGAATTAAAGGAAAAATTTTTAGAAATCTCATTGAAAATATTAGAAGGGACCAGGGAAAAGAAACAACATTGAGCCATCTCCAGGGTTATGAGAAAAAATGATACTTTTAAAAAGTAGGGGTTGGGTTAGACATGATGAATTTGCTTTTAATGGTAAATGTGGATAGTTAGTCATAGTTTATTATTGTGTTTTTCAGAGCCACTTAGATGACACAAAGTGTCTATTGGTACATAGTCGTTTGTGAAATGGAGGGTCTGGTCTCCCACATCCTTGGGTGATTTCTTCCCCCTCATTGTTCCCCAAAAAGGGAGCATGTTCTCAGGTTCAAGTCTGTCCTTAAGGCATAAACCTTTCTGATGTCATCACAGTGAAGATCTCATTTGATCAAAAAAGACACTTTTGTCCCCCCCTCAAGATTTGGATGCTGCTGCAAATCTGTGTGTCAATATTACAGCCCCTCCACTAAATAAACACTTTGCTGATAAGCCGTGCTCCTATTCCATAGGGACACAGTACTCCTACACTGATAGGATCGGGGGGGAAAAAAAAGAATACCGTAGTTTGCCATTTACCAGTATATTTAACAGACAGAACAAAAGCCAGAGAAATTTGAAGGAAAAGCTGTTTGTAGCAAGGCTTGCCTCTCCTAACCAAGCCAGAAGGAAGGGATGACTGCAAAAAGACAGACCACAAGCATTATTTTAGGCTTGTTGTCCAAGAGTCTCTGTGCAAAAGCCACTGATGAGGTGCTAATGAGGAGCTAATCACTGGGTCCAGGAGCTGGAAAGAGACAGGGATGGCTGCTAGAACACACTGTTTTCTTCCCCCAAAACTTGGGCCAAGTCACAGGCATGGCTGATGCTAGGGAAGAGGGAGATGGGCAGTCGGGCTTTCCCTGCCTTTGCAGAGACAGAACAGGGCCTGTAAAGGGGCGGGGTGAGGAACGGCAGATGGGGGTAAGAGTTCAGAGTTTGGAGAACATTCGAAGGACAGCTGCAAGGATGAACTGAACACAAGATGAAAACGGGGCTGACTCTTCAGGGTGCGGACATGCGCAAACTTGCGCAAAGGTGAGACCTTGAGGAGATCCATTTCAGTGGTAACTTATCTGAGCAATGGATGAGAAATCTATTGGCTTGCCCCATCACCGCAATCAGAGAAGGGGCACAGGTCTGCAATTAGTTTCCAGCTGCCCCCTTTATATTTGACCCAGATAACTGAGTTGACCGTGCACAGTCACCCACCAAGTAGCACTGAGTCCGGCCAGCTCACTTCGAACTCAGTGATATTCTCACGTCCCACGTTAACTCTTTCACTTCATATTCCAATTCAATTTGAATGTTTGAGTTTTATATCTAATGGTTTTAGCCCCATGATAGGTTCAGGAATCTGCTTGAACTAGTTCACATTTATATTTGTACTTAATATGTATTATTCAGGCCCAAATTCAGTGCCTCCCCCAAATTAATCAAATAAAACCTGTATCAAGATTGGGTTTGGTTTTGAGTTTCTCTGAGAAAACCAGTCCAGTCTTTAAATATGAAGGTTCTTAAAACTCAGGATTTAGTCTCCTTTTAAAAAGCCCTAACTTCATAAATGATCCACAGTGCAAAAAGTCAAAGACAGTGTAACGATAATAAAAGAAAGGGTGAGCTATAGAAAAATTTAAGAAACCACACACTTGGCGCACACTTATTTGAACATAAATACACACAGAGATCAGTAGGAGAAAGACTAATGAGGCCCATCGGTTTGTTGAACCATATTGGACCAATAGAAGTCCAATAGAAGCATTTGTGTGTATGCGTGTCTGCGCGTGTGTGCGCATATGTGCACACATGAACAAGTATCATAATATCATAAATAATAAAAAAGACAAATGTAGTCTGCACTATGTAAGCCTGAGCATCTAGAACAAAATACTACACTGATAATTGCTTTTAAATAAAGTCGTCAGGTTTGCCTCTGTATGGTTGTGACATTACTTGGCCCAGAAATCTATTTTCCCAGTCAATAAACACAATGTCCTTGGCTGGAAACTTTCATTTCTTCTAAAGAAATGTCTCAGAATATACAAGGAGATTCTTGTTACTCATACTAAAGACAAGAAGAAAAGTAGGAAAAACAATTTCAAAGAGAATCAGCATAAGTAAAACCCCAGAGAAATCTGTTCTCCGAACTTTGGGGCACAGTATTCTAAAGTCCCGAGATGAGTTCCCAAAAACAGCCGTGATGATGTGGAGCAGATTGGCGGAGGCTGAAGGTGGCTGTGACTGAGCTAACGGCCCTTTCTCAAGACTTTTGATGAATCAATAGCCCTAGTTTGTACAGAATATGTGATTTCAGCTTTGAGGTTTCCGCTGGCCATTGTGCCTCCATATGGACCACATAGTGAGTTAGAAAGTGTCAGTTCATTCTGGACCCCATCACATCATAGAGAGCTGACAAGCTGGGGTTTGGGTAACAGCTACACTCTCTGTCCCAACCAGGAGAAAAAGGAGCCAGGGCTGCCTCTCTTGTAAGGACCATAGGAAACACCTGCACAGACACAGGGTAAGCCCTTTTTCTATCAGACCCACCAGCCCCTCTGGCCACCTGGCTGCAGTCAAGGCCTGTTGCATCTGGACCTGGGAGTGCTGGAGCACTGGGGAGCCCAGAGCAGGGCTCACTGACAACGGGTACACTAATTCTTCATAAACCGTTTTACTTTGTGCAGCATCGAGATACACTGTGAAACTGTTTGTCATCAGCAGAGGGGCTTTTATGCCTTGATTTACAGTCCCCTCAGGGGAACACCAATATGATGACAACCACTGTCACTCCAACTGAGCAGAAAGCCTGGCTCAGCACCATGGTCAGAGAAAGGTCAAAACTGTCTCTCCTGGAGTCAGATCCCAGCCATGGCTCCTCGACTCCTGGAGACTAAAAGTTCATAGACGGAGAGAGCAGTGGGTGAGGAAGGGAGGGGGTGTTGCTGAGGGTGGGCCACAAGGGTTCCTGATGGGATTTGCAAAGATACACAACATGCATCTCAATGAGCTTTGCAGTAAACTTCACTGCACAGAGGTTAATCTAGATGTCAACATTGTCTGACAGTGAAGAAATTACTCCAGGGCAGGGCTCCTTCAGAAGTCTTAATATAACAGTCAATTCCATCCTGCCTGTAGGAAATGAAAGTTTTCTGCTTTGTGTGCCGAATCATTCAGCACCAATTTTCTCACTGTTTGAAGTCCAAACTGTTTGTGGTCCTAGGATTCACCTTGTATTAAGACTTTCACAGAGTTTGAGAAGCTGGGTTGTCAGTCCCATGGAAGCAGGAAGATAGGAGCCAAAAGAAAAAGCAAAAGTAAAAAGAGCAAAAATGAAAGAAAATCTTCTATACTGAGATTTACTTCTGTACTACGGAAAGCAAAAATCACAACACCTGCACCAGGTTTGTTTACTCACTCCAGAGTGAGCTCAGAGACATGAGGTAAGTGTCAGGTGGCTGTTAAATGGAGATGGAATGTGGACACTTCTCCAAGAAAAAGCAAAACATTTACGAAAGCTAGTCATTTGAGTAGGTCCTAGCAGTGAACAGATTACAAAAGTCTTTTTTTTTAATGACATCCATGCTCTCTTCTTAAATGAAGGGATAAGTATCAGGCTTAGACATGAGCATCCACATTTCTCACTGGGCTTTACTGATGGTGCAGCCAAGACAACGTCAGAGTACACAGCGGACATCTGGGCTCTCAGTCTACTGTTGGCTTCCAGGAAGGACGACTAAATTGGTCATCCTCTAAAGTGACTAGAAACCAAATCCTCTCATAAGATGGTAAACTTAAAAGCAAGACCTGAGGGCCAAGGCACGTGTCAGAAGTAGCTGTCCAACAGGCCTTTCCTCATCTATGTTATCTTGATACATCTTCTGTTAGAGAGATCTAGTTTTGTTGGCCTTAAGTATCTCTCGCAAGCTACAAGCTTGGGGCATAGCACTGCACACAAAGCAATGTTTACCTTGGTGATTAGGAAAAATTAATTAATGTCAGGTAGCTGTAATGCTCTGTCTCTCCTTGATGGGAGATAGCCCAGCACGCCGGCTTAAGACATTATCTCTACTGCAAATATCAACCCAAGCTTTGCTTTCAATTTGGAACTTAGCTAAAGAGGAAAGGGAATCTGAATTTTATTACTTGAATCAAGAATTCCAAGTACTTTAAGGGCGTCCCCCAGTCTCCATGGATCCCTTGTGGAATAGAAAAGTGTCTATATTGGCCCACTGAGACTTGGGCCAGAGACATCTCTTGTTGCAAAGTATAGAATTATTTTAGGCAGTCAAAGGAACTATGCCTGGGAGAATGCACCAGGGAAACAAGACTCTATCGGAAGCCAAGATTCAGGTCCTTAGGGTGGAACAGCCTGTGCTCCTGGCAAAAGCCCCAACACCCAATGCAGTGAAACAAATATTCACCACATCCTCCACCATCAGCAATGCCTTTCAGAAAGAGTGAGCAAGTATCAACACCTCATATTCTCTCTGTCCCACTTCTCCTAGGGGGTGGTTTTAACTGCAGTGCTGGTGAATTCAATACCAACCCCCAAATGGGATGTGGCAGAAAGGGCTCCCATGAGGGAATCTATCAAACCACCAGGAAGAGTAGTTTTCAGATGCTCAGAATATTGTCATCAGCATAATTTAATTCGGGGAGCACCAAACAATCAAACTTTACAAGATGATGAATTTCCCATCAGTACGTTTCTGAACGTCTCTTAGGCCAGTCCATCGCTGGATTTCTTATTCCTAAGAAATGTAAGGCTTAGAGAGACCAAGCATTGTGAAATCAATTTGCTGACTCCACGCGAACCTTCACTGAAGCCATTCCAATGAAAGATATAGATATAAGCATACACGGTATACAGGCCATGCTGTCCCTAGGATGACACTTCCAGTGATGCTAAGAAATCTTAAAATATTTTCTGAAGTCCTATAGTGATATTTTGATAGTGATACAAAAGCTTGGAATTTTCCTTTAAAACCTATTAAGGGTTGACCAAAAAATTTATTTGGTATCAAAGAAGAGGTTGGTGCTCCAGGGACCAAAAAGGTGCCATTTTTAGCTCTAAGGTGTACGCCTTTGGGTATTCTAGCAGGTTTGGCTTCCAACCAAAGCTGACAGTAGACATCCCAGGGACAGTGAAGGGCAGCTCTCTAGATAGCCAGCACATGAGTTCATTCAACAAACATCTATAGATCTTTCTTTGCTTCTGACACTGAGCAAAGCACAGAGGAGACCCCCAAATCTCAAGGCTGCCACCTCAAGTTGCAACAACTGTACCTCAAGTCAGGATAACACTGCTGCTATTTGATTTGGAAAAGGACAGCAAGGAAGCCATTAGGCATTCCTGAACAGAACAGGACTTTAGTGAATAGCCTGCAACTTACAATGGTGCCCTCTTTCCAGTACCCTACCTCCTTACAACAGCAGCTCAGGGAAAAACTCACTTGGTTTCTGACCCAGAGTTCAGATTGCCAGTGGCCTGCATGCCAAGTGGATAGGCCTGTCGCCATATCTTGGAATAGTTTCTGCCGACTTGGGTATGTCCGTGTTGAAATGGAGTACGTGGCTAGTTAGGAGGACTGCCTGGTGGAAGTCAACCAAGGGGCCAGGTGGCAGCCTTCGTTGAGGAGCACAAAAATGGGGTCCCTGGCTTATCTGCCTGGCTCTCCCCACCAACTCCCCACAAACCTAACTCATGGAGCCTTCGTTATTTGCCTTCTATAATCAATTTCTTGCCATTGGCAATTTTTCCTCTTCCCTTTCCTTATCTGTCTTTCATTTTCTCTCTTATTTCCTAACAGCAAGTTAAAAAACAAACAATAACACAAAAGCCAAAAACCCAGGTGGGACCAAAATATAGTTTTTTTTTTTTTTTAACTAAAAGGAACCACCAGAATATCTATTCTAACCTCTTAAATGTCTCAGATGAGAAATCTGACCATCTTAAAAATTAGCTGACCCAGCCAAGTTCAGCCAGGTAACTAAGAGCTAAGCCAGGATTTGCGATGGTCTTTCCATCACCCCACATTCCCACCTGGCTTCCCACGCATCCTGTACTTTCCCAGCATGACTGACTCACTTTTGCTTCTGAGTTGAGTCTCATGCAGCCCCAGAGATTGGCTGTCAGCTCTCCTGTTGGTGTTGGTTTCTGTAGTATTTAGCACCAAAAATACTTGCACTAGTGTATTCCGCAAAGTAAGCATCGCCAGAGAAGGACGGTAATGTGCCACTTGAACCCAGAAGGACCAAGGATCCTTTTGTCTCCTTGGGAAGCTTCTCTCCAGGGATGATTTGTGCATGATCTGCTGAGTGGAGGAAGCATCAAGTCCTTTGTTGTTAACAAGAGGAGACTTAGTGACTCTTAAGATCCACTCAGAGGTCAGGGACATAATTAGAGGGCAGCATTTGGTTCAAGTCCACAGCAAAGAAGAACTGGAAGGACCCTTGGCCATGGCACCTGACTCCAAGGTAGGCATCCAACAGCAAATCACTCTTGCTTAGTCCAGGAAGGGACCAGGTGAGCATGGCATGGCAGGGAGATCAGCCTGAGTGGCCTGGAACATCCACCAGCAGTCACAATGGAGCTCACGTCAAGCTACGCTCTCACCGTACTCTGTCATGGTCTTTTAAAGTATGGGTTTTTGTATGGAGGGATGAGAGTGGAGAGAACCAGAGTGGCCGTATTGGCTAATGGGATGCCATCTCAAGACTCATTTACCACATTAGGCTGTTTGAAAAATAAATAAATAAATAAACCTTTGCCAGTGCGTTTCTGCTGTGTAGAAAGGTTAGAAAGGGGAAGGAGGCCAAGTGCTCCCTCTGGGCCTAAAGCAGCCTCAGGCACTAAAGCCTCTGAATTGTGGTGACATAGGTGCAAAGGAGGAGAGGAGTGTCTTATTGAAACCCACCTGTGCCCAGGCCTACCTCAGAGGCATCTTCCCCCAACTTGTGCGAGGCCTGTGGAGGGCTATCCCGGCATTCCAGAGCGGCATTGAGAAAAATGACACAGTGACTCGATGCTGTCAGAATCTAAGAATTTCAGAGCTAGAAGGGGCCAGAGATTAGCAAGCACAACCCTCATTTGGCAGATGGGGAAACTGAGGCACGGTAGAGTGAGTCTTCTTGGTCCTGTCCCAGTACAGGAGAAATAATGCACTCCACTCAGCCCCAGAGCCCTAGAGTACCCCTTCAGTTTCCACAGCCCTATTCTCCATCTCCTGCACTCTCCAAAAAGCTTATTTTTTTACCTGCCGAGGTGAAGAAATCGACCTGTAGACTCTACACAGAGTCCGGCAAGGGCAGCGAGTAAGCAGGCCCATTCTCTCTGCTCTCCCTTGCTCTGAGACCCATTTTCTTCTACTCTTAAGATGGGCAGTTGAACAGGATGAAGACATGACCCCAAGGCCAACACGGAGGCCTGTGGGACTAAGACGAGGGTGATCTGACAACTATAGTCTCCTTCCGTGCCCCTTGTTCCAAGGAATTGCCTTTTTCCATTAGGCCACGATGACTCAGTGCCCTGAGTTGAAACCCTAGCACATCCCTCATTCCCAGTTGCCCACCAGCCTCTAACCACTTTCCATCACCCCCTTCTTCCCAGACCATTAGTGGGAGCCACACAGTGTCTGTTCGGGGGACAATGTGGCAGCAACAGGAGCCTTGGAGCCTCACATCTCACCAGAAGATACTTTCTCCTCAGGCTCTCCCCATCGCTTCCTCCATGAATACCTTTCCCTTAGTTACCCCACTCAAAACCAGACTGCATGGCTCCATCCAGCCCTAATGGCCCCAGAATAGATCAGGGGCCCTCAGGTGGAAAGACAAGAAGGGTAATTGCCATAGGACAGCAAAGGATTCCTGTGAGGTGGTCAATCAGAAGAGCTCTCCTCAGAAGTCCTCAGGGCTGGGAGCACAGCACAGACAGAAACCCCACACCAACCCCACCTCCCGTCCGGCCCCTCCCAGGCCAGCTGAGCAGCCTCACCGATCCCCGAATCCCCACCGCGGCCTACAGTCCGAGCACAGCTCTTTTCTATTTGAATAAAAACATTTGTTGGTCTAAAAAAGGAAGCAAAACCACAAACACAGAATTCAGTCCTGAACCCCACACAGGGATGCCTGCACTGCGGCTGACCAGGAAGTCCAGGCTGCCGACAGTCCCTGAAGCTGGCAGAGCACGGTGCAGGCCAGAGGCCCCCAGGAGGCTCCAGTTGGGCGAAGGCCAGTCCATTAGGTAGCTCTGTGCTTGGGGTGTGGTGGAGGGGCTGGTGGCCTCGGTGGGGGGCGGGGGGGGCGCATCCTCTCCTTCACAGCAGGAGGGCTCTGTGGGGCCAGGCTGTTGGCTTTCACAGGCGTTTCATTGTCAGGTATCAGGGAGGCCCAGAGACCTGCCCCTATTGCAGTCCTTGATGGCAGCAGCTGGGAAGGCAGTGAATCCTCTGGCGCTGGGGCGGAGGGAGCGGGCCCCAGCCCAGATGCTTCCTTCTCTCTCCCTGGTTGGGGCTCGATCCTCATTAAGATGCCAAGCCTGCGGCAGTGGCTGTGCATTGGACATCTCCCAGAGAAGCCTCGGCCCCTCCCCCTGCCCCCAGCCCACAAAAGCGATTTCTCAGCCTCTGCGTTTTCACAGCAGCTCAAAGGCAGATACATCAATCCTTCCAGGGGCTGGAAACGTGAGAAGAATGCCACGGGGCCGGTTGCAGGTGCCAAATAGATTCTCCCCTGCTGCCTCCTGCCCACTCCACGGCCTGGCTTCCCAAAATAAGCATTGCCCCAGCCTCTTGCTAGACATGGTTCCCTTCCCAGCAGTGGGGATACCTGGGAGTGGCAGCGAGGACCCAGGGAGGCAGGATAAGAAACAGTGGACCCAGAGGGGCATACCTTATAATGACACACAAGGAACTAAGTCTCCTGCTGTTGGAATCGTGTTGTGTCCACATGCGTAGACAACACAGAGGACGTGCCCCAAATCTCCCCAAAGGCCTGGAGGTGGGAAGTGGGGCCAAGGAGTCTCCCCAATAACGGGGAGACAGGAGGCAGTGCCTTGATGGAGTTCAGATTTTATCTGTTTCTTCTGTGGGTCTCTAAGTCCGGAAAGTCCAGTTCTTGAAGTTCAGAGGATAGAAGACACATCGCTTTCAAATTTAGGAGGGAACTTGAGCATGGTTTACACCCAAGATGGATGTAGCCCACTGCCATCATGGTCTTGTCGTTGTCGTTGTTGTTCTTGTTCAGTGTTTACCTGTAGGCGCCATCACGGAATCCCAAGAATGCGAGCATTCTACTTTCTAGAATGGACAAATGAGAAAATCGTCTCGAAGTAGAGGAAAGGGGGAAGGCATGGAGGCAATGGTCAGGGGAGACGCGAGGCGTTCCAGAGGTTCCTGGTCCAGCGATATTTCCTCGCTGAGTGTGGTCAGCCTATGCACCCATGTAGAGCTTGGGGGGTACCACACCTACACTGGTGATCACCTGCACAGTGGTTATTCACGTCTACCCCAGCTCCTCTCGTCCCAGCACGAAGATTGTCTCTCTGAATCGTCCAGGTCTTCAGCTCCGAAAAGCCAGAGCTGAAGAAGCATGGGCCACAGCTTAAGTCAACGGGAATTTTCCTTTGCGTTCATAATAGTTAAGATTTTCTGAGTTGTTGTTACAGTCTTGTGGTTTCTGTATCAGCAGCTTCTCTCTGTATCAGAGAAGAAGGTATCTCTCTGTAGATATAGATAGATAGATAGTTAGATATATAAATATATATATATATATATATGTATGCCAAACTGCCTTACAGGGTTTTTTTCTCTCTTTTTCTTTTTCAGTGTTGTATGTGTAGCAGGCACTTGAGTTTATATGAAGACGTTTGCTTCAGTCAAGGATGGAAGAAAGGAGTTGTGAGGTGGAAAAGGGAGGATGTGAGGCCGGGAGAGAGGAGGCAACAGAGTATGAATTCGTGACCGCCGGCCACCACTAGCCGAGGATGTCCAGGTAGATGGGGGTGGCTTTGCCCAGAGCATGGAGGATTTTGTAGATCTCTTTGATGTTCAGCCGCTGCTGCGGTTCCCTCTGCCAGCAGCCCAGCATGACATCATACACCTCTTTGGGGCAGACTCGGGGCCGCTCTAAAACACGACCCTGGGTGATGCACTCGATGACCTGAAAGAGTAAGGAGCAGGGAGTTAGAGCCAAAGCTCAGCCCAATCCCTGTGGCGCACACCCAGCCGAAGGCAAGAACATCATTGATGAGCCTCAGTGCAGAGCCAGGTACCCAGGTGCACAGGCCAAAGGCTGCCTGCACACAGCGCTGAGTTTCTCATCTGACCCGTGCATGGGCTCCTGGCTGGTCGTGCCCACTGCTGCCCTTTGTATGCCACCTCTCAGGCCAGGCCTTCATTGACTCCCACACACTCTCTTCCTTTTACTTCACTTTTCGTCTCGAGTCCTGGATCTCCTCTGGATGACCGAGCCACATTCGTTTTCCACCCGGCAGTGGGATGGGTATTGGACCTTCCCCTTGCACTCTTATGAGGCTGCAGGACTTTGAAACGCCCCTGCAGGAGCTCTGCACCATCTGGCTCCTCCATGCCTATCTCCCCTTAGCTCCCACTTCCTGGCAAGTTCCTCTCTCAGTCACAGCCTCTGTGCACATCACCACGCTTACCTCTAAGCCACTATACAGGTCCCTGTCTCAGTGAGGCCCATCCTCTCCTGCTCTTTGTGCTAAACCAAGTATTCTGTTTCTGTTACGGTCCTTAACACTAGGACTAACCACTTGTTTCACCACTGCCCGGCTGGGTGGCCACCACAATTAGTTAACCTCATAGGATCTCAATGTCCTTATCTGTAAGATGGGATCAAATATGTGCCTTAACCACCTCCTAAGAGTGTTGTAAGGACCAAATGAGGTCACGAGAAGGGACTGTACGGCCCAACAGACCAAAAGGGAGGCTGTAAGTGGGAACAGGAAGAAAATAAATTCCACGTGGCTGGACCAAGCCTTGATTTGTGGTTCAATTCCTCAAAGGCACTTCTTTGCTGGCACTGAATATGTGAATTTTCATGGTTTCATCTTCCAGTTCGCAGGTTGGTTTTAGTTTCTCCCTGACTCTACCACTGCGTAACCTTGGGCAACTTACTTACCTGGAACTATAGTGTCCTCACTTGAAGACAGGTTGTGGTGATAAAAATACACAGAATCATCTTGAGTTGAGTACCTGAAAAAATATTATTTCCCCTCTTTGGCCCCATTATTCCGTATTTAGTTGGGCAAGAGAAGTGTCCTTTCTCCTTGTATCTCCTTATGCTGTCCCTAAAGCACCCTGTCTGGAGTACTGTCTCAGGTGACTCCGACCTTTGAACGGCTTGTCAAACCATCACTGTGTCAGCACTTCCTGGTCCTTTTTGCCCTGGAGTCTGCAATGGCCCAATAGTCTCATTTCTTTGCCAGCCTGATAGGTCTCCAGCTCCTCATATTCCCCATTCTTGTTAGGGCCCCATCTCCACCCTCCAACACCTTCACCTCCATGAAAAGGGATCTAGCTCAAACTGTAGTAGCAGCTGCTAATGCGAAGACCAAGAGCATCTGGTAGCATCTCCTCCAAGGTGAGGCTATCCGGTTGGTCAATTTCCACAAAGAAATCCATTATCAGGGACTGCCAATACTTGGCTGCTGCAATAGGTAGAGTGGGGAGGGGGAGGTGGCTGGGGACAGGCAGCCTCCCTTCAAGGCCAATGTCTCACCAAGCAGTGTTGGAAATGACCATAAACACCTTCTTGGCTACTATAAGCTAGCTTGGGTATCCAGGACAGATCTTCTGCTGAGACTCATAATTAGCACAGAGCCCCTCGTTACTAGGGCCACCAAACTACATGGAGGCTGTGCTCAGGGTGCATGTACGTGCCCATGTGCTTACATGTCTGAGGGTGTGTGTACGCATGCATGTGCATGCGTGTGTGTGTGTATATGCATGCCTGTGTGCATGTGTGTATTTCTGTTTACCACCAATCCTGCCCCCAGGAAGACAACAACTATTTTTTAAAACACCATAACAAATGGGCTCTGATACACACTTTCATTTTTTTTTTTTAAAGATCATTAAAATGTTTTGTCCTACTTTGGGAAATGTGGTCAGGACCTATTCAGCTTGTGAATGATGAGATATTACAGATTTAAAGAAATGCCTCCTTTTCAGTCTTTGAAATTCACTTAATTAAGTGGTAAGGGCATAAAAAAGCCAAGATGAACATAGCTTCCAAGAAGAAAGATACTTTCTTGAATATTCAGATGATTGCAATATTAAAAGGTCCTTGTGTTCACATTTTCACAGGAAACAGAAGACCATAAAAATAATTGCAAGCTTTTATAAATCTGCTGGACTGGGAGATTGAGCCTCTTACTGTCTACAAACTGTACTGAAATCCCTGAGGCAACATGACTCTAGTCAGACATAACTGAGACCATCTTGACTGGCTTTGGAGGCAGCAGTCCTGTGACCACTGGCCAAGCCTTCTCGATGCTGCAGAAGCTGTCACCTCTGAGACCCTAGCCAGTCCACTCCAGGACCCAAAGCAGTTCCCTCTCCTCTGCCCTGAATCTCAACAGGTGTTTGTGTGAAAACTACTGCATTAATATGGCTAAAGTGCTTAGAAAAGTGCCTGGCACTAATGCTAGATTTGGTTAAATTTGATTACTAACATTTTTATTATTATTGTAAAACAAAATTATAAAACTATATAACGTGTTTATTATTATATTTACTATTATGATTCATTTTATTCCCGGAAATCCACACACAACTCTATCAATAACATGAAATTTACCTTCCCAATTCACCACCGTGCACATCCCTGGACCTGGCATGCCTAAAACCTTTGGGGACCCAGATTATTTGGTCATACCAAGTAGTAGGTGTTTCCACAAGATGGCACAACTGAAAAACTCAGAGTTGTTCTTTGTTTTCATTTTCTATCTTAGTGAAACATTTGTGATTTTCAAGTATAACAGAACAAACAGAACCGTGACTCGCATCTCAATTTAGAAATTTGATTTCATGCTCTCTTGACAGTTATACCATATTTCCTACAGTTATAATTTTTTTTTCCTACTAAGAAGCTCTCCCCTCCTGCTTATGCCTACATTTGCCTTGCTGGCTCCAAACCCCACCTAATGTTTTGTACACAGGGTCTAAGTCCTGGGCTGGGATATCTCTTATCAGCCTTTCCCCAAGTCAAGGTTCCAATCTGTCCCCTTCTGTACCTCTGTGTTGGAGAGCTGGAACCATGGCTGCTTTCCATAGGTGAAGATCTCCCAAAGGATCACCCCAAAGCTCCACACGTCGCTCTCTGTTGTGAACTTCCTGTACATGATGCTTTCAGGGGGCATCCAACGGATGGGGAGCATGGTGTGTCCTCCCACCTAAAAGGAGTCAAGACAGAGGCACAAACAGAGTGATCAGATGACCAGAATCAGTCACGTCTGTCTGCACTCTTCATATGTAGATGCCATTCTTGATGCATCTGATTCTAAGATAACCACAACTTGATGCAACTTGTGTCAAAAAGCTAGTGGAGACACTGACATCTGAGATCTACAACACTGGAGACAGCTAGAGTAGCAATTAGAGATAACACCTAAGGGAAGGTAGATTCCTTGGTATGGAGCATAAAGCAAGATCACAAGATGGTTTGAAGTGAGAGAGAAGGTTTCAGAATCTGGTACTAAGGGTAAATCAGACCTTGAGAGGAGGTCCAGAGGGAAGTCAGCAGAATTACTGAGTGAGGGTATCAAGCAGCAGCATATTTGCAGACATCGGCTTAGACTCTTTGGCCAAGGTGGTTAAGACACAATATGGTCCACATGCATCTAATTTGTATAACTACGACTTTAGTTTCTACTTAACAACCCTGAATTTCTCACCACAACTTAGGACTCTGTGTTTCGAGTGAATGGGACAGGGAAGTTCCAAATCTATGGAAGACTATATGCTAATAAGAAATCAAGGAGACTAAAAGAGAATTCGCCACAGTTCTTAGTAAGATCTCAAAGGCCAGTAAGGAAGATTGTCTTTTAAAATGGCCTAGGGAAACCCATCTGTGGGCCTACAGAGCTGACAGTCAAGGACAAGAGCAAGTGACTGACATTTAGAGTACCCTTTCCCGAGAAAACATTAGGGAAATCCTCAGTGCCCAGCAGGTTAGAGGTATTGGCATAAGTATAAGAAAATTCACAGCATGTTTTAGACTCAGGAATTAACTGCATCATTAGTAAATAGAGCATCAGAAATGGAAACTTTTGGCTAATACATGCAATTTATTGTTAGAAAACTGCTTATCATCAATAAAAAGAGCCTCTATAAATGTCCTGAAGAATCAGAAACTTTCATTTCTATGGTGGGCCAGTTGGAGGAATAATAATGATGAATACTTAAGAAAGAATGACTTCTTGGGAGATGGGCAATCTTGCGTCTAAAAAGGGAAATCATGTTTGCCTTATCCACTTGAAATATTTCAGAAGATAAATGATAATAAGGAATTGCAGAATTTGTCTTCAACCTGGCATTTTATAATCAATAGCTTTGTATCAAGTGTAAAGACAAGTGAAGATGTTTCTTTCAGACAAGCAAAGACTCAGAAAGTTTACCACTCACAGCCTTTCAGAAAATAAAGAAGCAAAAACTAATTGAGGATGTACTCCAGAAAAACAGAAAAAAGAATCTAAAATACACAATGACTTGGAACATAATAAAGAGTGCAGAGCAAATAAGCCACAAAAATGCAATTTATATCCAAATAATGGTTGTTAATTTGGTACAAAATGTAATAGGACTAATAAAGCTGTCTGTAAAATAGAGACATAAAGTAAATGAAAATACTAATAACGTTAATAGTACCACCATGGCTACTGTTAGAATACTCATCAGGAATGAAACTTTCAGATAATTTCAACCTTAAGTGCGTAGAAGAGTAGGTAGGGAAATAATCAAAAGCCTGATAAAGGCTTTGCGTTTTAGCAGGAAGAGAAAGGGAGCTTATAGTCGTCCGTTGTTGACTATAACAGTTTCAATGTAAATGCGCTTGCTAAAATTTTAAAGGAGCTTCTAGATTAGAAATAGTCCCCATAGCTTCCAAACCAGTTTTAGGAAAATAGAGCCAAAAATTTCTAACCAATACCAAAAGGACTACGAAAAGGAGGAGTGGGGTAATGATAAATAAAAAGCATAAAATGAAAGAAGTTTGAATAATATCATCATGGACAATAAGCGCAAATGGGTTATACGACCTCTTAAATAAGAGGAAAATGTATTAAAAAATCAAGATGCATGCTATTTAGAAAAGACATAGCTGAAAGAAAATAGCAGAAAATGTTGAAAATGAAAGAATGCAAAAATACAATAAATAATAAAAGAAAAATTGAACATATAATATATAAATATTCAATATACATAATAATATAATATAAAGTTATACATAGAATATGTAATATATTCAAAATTGAATACATATATGAAACAAATTTCAGAATTCCAAGAACTACACGGAGATAAAGCAGTTTATATCGTATTTGAAGATGGCAAAATTCACCCTTATGACAATTTTGAACTTTTATGCTCCAATTAACATAGCAACAAAATGTATAAAGAGTAAAGCAGGTTATAAATGAAAGGGAACTGACAAATCTACGATTATAATGGAAAATTAAAACATTTCTTTCACAAATGACAGATGAAGAAAACAACATAAATGAAGATACATTTTTAAAATACAAGTAATGAGTTAATTGGTAGATATGAGTGCTGTGTATGTCTTTCAGCCTCCTTAAAAAGTTGTATATTATTTTCAATTATCTAAGAAACATTTATAAAAACCAGTCACATATTACACCTGAAAGGAAATATGAAATTCCAAGAGGAAAAAAACAAGTAAATATAAAGTAAGAAAAAGAAACATTTTCCATACCAAATAAAATAAAATAAAATAGAAATTAACAACAACAAAAATAATTGTTGGAAAAGGTTTTCTTTGTACAATTGAAAAAACTATTTGGTAAAGAAAATAATTGAAAATAAAATTTAAAACTATTTATCATAATAATAATTAAAGTCTTATTCATTGACACCTATGAACATAGCTAAACTAATTATTGGGAAAAATATTATAGCATTTAGGCACATTTTTAAAATAGTTAAAAATATAATTAAATTAAATAAGGGTTCAACCAAAAAAAGTGGTAAAGATTTATAAGTTATAGAAAGCAAGAGAAAATAAACAATAAAGATAAAATGAGGAAATGGTATAAAATAAAGCAAAGCAAAACACACAACCAAAAGGGAAAAAAGCAAATTATATCCTCACAATCAATTGCTAGTTCTTTTTAAAGTAATGCAAACCTTTGTCAAGGTTAATAAAGGACATAAAATAAATGATGTAAAATGTTAAGAATATTGCAACAATAAATTTGAAAACACAGATACCGACAATTGCTTTACTAGAAAATATTAACGAAAAAAAAGAAAAGTAGAAAATAGTTACAATTGTAGTAAAAACAATATATAGACTAAAAAACTACACAATTCAGATGGTTTTATGAGTGAGTTCTACTAGTTTTCTATCCTATTTCTATTTTTCTAAAATAAAAAAAGATAAAAATTTTCCCAAGCCACTCTCCGTGGCTTGAATGTCCCTGATAACAGAATCAGTCAAACTTAGCCCATAGCCTTAAATATATGAATAAAGATAAAGAAATTTTATCTACATATGTGTAAAACTATGTTATGAATATAGTCTCCAAATCTGAATAAAATATTATCACATTGAATCAGCAATATAATACTTCCATATTATAACTCAATAAGGTTTATACTAGAAATGTAGGAATGCCTCAGCCTTAAGAAATCTGTTTCATTTACTAAATTAAGAGATAAAAGCAGAAAAAGAATCCTTTCAAAAGATGTCAAAAATTTCCAACATATTTTCCTGATTGAAAGCCCTAATTAATTAGTAATAGAGGGTAACTTTATTTAACACACTAGATATCATACTTACTAATAAAACATTAGAAATATAGAAGCTATCTTCCATCACTGATTTTTATGCAATACTGTTCAGGTGGTCCTAGCCAGTGGAATAAAGCAAGAATGAAAAAACAAGGCAGAGGGGCCAGCCCAGTGGCATAGTGGGTAAGTGGGCACATTCTGCTTCAGCGGGGCAGGGGTCGCTGGTTCGGATCCCAGGTGCGGACATGGCACTGCTTGGCAAGTCACACTGTGGCAGGCGTCCCACATATAAAGTAGAGGAAGATGGGCATGGATGTTAGCTAAGAGCCAGTCTTCCTCAGCAAAAAGAGGAGGATTGGTGGCAGATGTTAGCTCAGGGCTAATCTTCCTCAAAAAAAAATAAGGAAAAAAAAAAGCAGATATATCGAAAAGGAAGAGTCAAAACTGCTATTGTCTGCATATGATGTGACCATGGAAGACAATTAAGTAAAAAGCAATTAGAATCATTACATGATTTAGTAAGCTAGCCAGACACAAAATGAACGTAGAAAAATCAAACTATTCTCATACACCCCTAGCAACCACTTCAAAATTCAACAGAAAATCAGATTGTGTGTACAATAGCAGCAAAAAATGTTTCAAATTCCTAAACATAGACTTTAGTAGAAAACGTACAAGGTCTATTTAAACAAAGGTGTTGAAAAATATAAAAGGAGATCTGAATACATAAAAAGATACGTCTTTTCTTTGGCTAGGAAGACTCAATATCATAAATCTCTTATTTCTCCCTCAAATTCATCTAAAAATTTAAACACAATCTAAATGAAAACCCCAATGAAATGATGTATGAAAATCGACAAGATGCTACCAAAATTAATCTAGAGGAGTAAATACTTGATAAAAACTAAGATACACTCAAAATAGAACAAGGGATATTTTGCTCTATCAGATTGCAAAACATATTATCAAACCACAGTAATGAACACACTGTGTTATTGGCATAGGAATAGACAAATTTCATTATCAGTGAAACAAAATAGAGAGTCCAGAAGCAGACTCATGTATAAATATTGGAATTTAATATATGAAATGATGGGTTAGTAATCAGAGTGTTGGGACAATGAACTAGTCATTTAAAAAGTACACTTAGATACCTACCTCACACCATATACAAAAATCATTTCCAGATGGATTAAAGAGCTAAACATAAAAAACAAAACAATAATAATATTAGAAGAAAACTTAGAAAAATATTTGTACAACCTCAGGAGAGAAAGGCCTTGCTAAATAAGACACACATTCGAAAAGCCATAAAGGATAGGATTCAGAGATACAACTTGTAAAAAGTAAATACTTTGCATGGCAAAATACAAAATAAACACAGTTAAAAGACAAATGACAGAGAAAATATTTGCAATATATG